CAAGACCTTTGTTGAGCTCTTGGTCATTATCTGACCCAAAGCTTTCAGGTGGGCAGTTTCGCTGGAATAACTCGAAGAGCTCAGGTCGCAACACCTAGAGAGCATGGTGGTTGGGGTTTGACGGGGGAGTTGACAGGTGAAAGTTTGATGTGGACGACGTTGTCATCCCTTGGATGGGCCTGGAATTAACCACCCTGCGAAAGTAGTAGGTTGGCGGAAGATCGGTCATTATAAGTTATTACGAGGCAATTCCGCGGGCCAAACAGTAGCAAGCCTTGCTTACCTATTTGAGGACTGGAAATTACATGTACAGCAGACAGAAGGGATGGAATTTTGTAACAATGGAATTCTCTTGGTAAAGTATCGGTGCGGATTTGGCTGAATACTCGGCAGCATGGGGCTATGTGATACTGCTAGGTCGGAACAAGCATGCACCACTCGGGCAATGATCACGCAGACAGGACGTTGAATAGGTAGATGACGGTCATCCACACATCAAAAGCCAAAAGAAAGGCCGGGCAGGGTCCTGAATGGGTCGGGGGAGACACATAGGGAGAAAACGAAAATCACAAATACATGAGAAACGCGAATGCGTGAAGAGGGTAGAGAAGAATCTGAATTGTGGCCCAACTCCAGAAGAGCAACGAAGTGGGCAATGGCAACAAGAGTCGTGAAAACAGATGCTGATTAGAAGTTGGCAAGAATGGCCCAAGTTCTCACCTCCCAGGCAAGACTGACCAGAACGAAAATACCGAAAACGCTTGAAGATGATCCATATGCTTGCAACGCCGAAACTTCTTTTAACGAGAAGTGGAGGGTTCGGGGCTCCAGCCCGACCGCTGACGCGGCTGTGGTCGTGGGGCAGTGTTGGGGGTTGACTTCTTAGAGACACCAGAAACATCGCCGGACTTGCTGTTGATTCCCTTGCGGGATCTGGCATTGATACTTGTATTGTTGTTGTTACTGCGGCCTCGAATCGGACCAGCCTTGCGTTGAATCACAAAACCCTTGGGCTCAGAGCCACCTGGGAGCAACACCGAAGCACGGGTGTTACCATGACTGTCCCGATCATTGTATCCGACTAGGAACGGCTGAATGCTCTGCGCCTGCACCGGCTTAAAATTCTTCCCGCGGGATCGCTCTGAGGGACGAGTTGCGCTCCAAGAATTCTGAGGTGCCATATTTGGGACACGGACAGCAGGCAGGGATCCAGGTTCGCGGTCTTCAAACATTTCATCTTGTTCATTGACTTGTCGAACGGCGAAATCGCCATCGCCAGACTGGGAGCTGATCTTGATTTGAGGAATAGAGACAGACACTGGAGCTGCATGAACCGGAAGAGGCTCCTTGGTAGCTGATGTCACAGCTAAGACACTCTTCTTCTGTGTGGGAGTTGTCTTGCCAAAGAGGCCGTTGATCTTGTCCTGCCAAGACAACGCAGTCGCAGGAGGGGGCACGTTACGCGGCGGTGCGGCTGCCATAGAAGCAAATGTCGGCGGGGGCGCCGGGGCACCAATGGCTTTGGGAGGCAACTTAACAACCGGCTTAGGAGGCTTGGGGGTCGGAAGATTAACGTGGGGCCGGGTCGAGTCTCCGGAATAAACAGGGTGGGATGTAACTTCTTCTGGAGGGGGAGGCGAAGGACTACTGCGCTCCTTCTCGGCGACCTGGCGCTTCGAATGTTCAGATGCGGGAGGGAAGAATCGAGAGCTCCGAGTGGGAACATTGCCAGTTGGACGAACACCGATGTCAGACACATTTAGGCTATCCATAGGAGTATCAAGACTCGTGAGAGGATTGGGTTGCTGGTTGGCAGCTGCTGCCTTGGCCTTGGTGATGTCTTCCTCGTTGTTGACAACCCTTTCAGTGACCTGTGTGACGATTCGTCTGCCATCTTCAGTGGCCCGTGTTTTCTTCCAGGTTTCGGAGAAAACAACAGGCGCAGGTGGCGGGGCTGGGACTCCCTTCTGTCTGTCATGGAGTCTCTTGAGGAACTCTTTGGCGTTCTGAGATTCCTTCTCCAGGGCATTCTCATGGAAGTTATTCCAATCATTAATGGCACGAGCATTCCGGTTGCTCGGCGGGCCGATTGGGCTGGGGCGTCCAATGGGGTTCAGGGAGTCAAATGAGGGGTGACGCGACTCAGGTGACGGCAAAGAATCAGTTGGCTCCTTAGGAGCAGAGAACTTGGGGGGAGTAGGCATATTTGACGAATCCATGCCGAGTTGGCCTAGAGGGTTCTCACGAGATGTAAATGTCCCCAGAGGTTGGTCAAATATTCCGTTCCCGAGAGTCGGGGTGCGGTCACTGCCAAAGGGTTTCCACAGATTTTTGGCGGATGTGGAAGGTACAGCAATATTGGGATGAGACCACGGTGAGGTCGAAGTTAGATTACCTTGCCACTGAGTCCCGTGCTCGTCAAGCTTGGTATCGGATGCCTTGCTCTGGACGGGTGAGTGGGGTTCAGTCTTGAGGTGGGAGGTAGATGAAGGTGCAGAGTCACGATGAGGTTCTTGGTGGGGTGATGAGACACGTCGGTTGAGATGTTTGCTCTCAGATGTGCGGTCATGTGCACCAACGAGTTTCTTGACAGAGTCTGGATGATGCACTTTCATCATACCATACTGTTTCGGTTCCCGATTGGGTTCTGGAACAGGAGGTTTGGGGGGTGAAGAAATAGAATGAATGGGTGGATGAGGAAGTTGGGAAGGGGTTTGTGGAGGATGAAGAGAGTGAGGGTGAGGGTGAGGTTGAGGTTGAGATTGAAGAGAAGGCGGGTTACGCGTTTCGGGGGTTTTCTTCTCTGGCGCAGGACCCATCGCCGCAAGACGTTGCCTAATCCTCTCCTTTTTAGCCGCTTCCTCTTTCTCCTCCTGCTCAATTCTTCGTTGTCTCGCCTCTAGCCGTTTCTCTTTCATAATACGCTCTTGTAGAGCAACAGGATCCTCCTGAGGTTCTTGCGGAACCTGAGGAACCGCCAAAGTTCCCACAGGAGACATACCTACATCAACAGCTGGACGTGCTGTGCCGTTTGGACCAGATGGAGTAATTTCGTCTTTGCCATGGTGCTGCTCGTGACCCACTATTGCTGAATCACCCAGGCCGTTCACTTGAGAATTCCGTCGACCATCATTGTATCTGGGAGGGCCATCGAATCGGCCAACTGACATCCTACGGCCAAACCCTCCGCTTCCTCCACTCACGTTTGATGATGCGCGACGACGACCACCCCAGCCCATTCCATCCTGATGACTAGACCTGTGCGTCTGGAATGCAGCAGATGGCTCTGCCGGCCCACTTGGATGATCATTTGGCCTCTGCAGTACTGCGGGGGCACGAGGGTGTTGGTCATGGCGCCAAGATCCTCTCCTGGTTTCTGCCACCGGCTCGTACTGGGAAGATCGAGGATTGAAAAGTTGAGGCAAATCGGACTGGTCTTTCCATGCACGGTTGAAATCATCCGCTGCGATCTCCTTAGGTGGCATTGACATCGGGCCGTGGTGGCCATCCTCTCTCTGGGGGTATCTCACGGGCATGCGCTGTTGGTGAGGTTGAACCGAGGCAATAACCGGAGACACTCTTTCAACAGGAGGCAGAGCGGCCCAGGGGGACTTTGATGGCGGTGCTGGGCTTGTAGAGCTAGATGGAACTTTGTCATTCGTGCCGTTAGAAGAAGCACTCGCAGTCCTCGCTTGCCGTTCAGCGTTCGCTCCCACTTTGAGTACCATAGCACGAGACCCCATTGATACAGTTGGCTTCGGCACAACCTTGGGAGGTTCCTTCACGATGTTTGGCTCTACAGGCGGTAGCTCTTTGGGCTCCCGGTGACAAGGAGCTGGCGGCGGGTCAGTGTGATGTTGAGTGAGATTGACCTTAGTTCCATCTGTCCACTCAATCGTCTCGGGGGCCCAATCGTCTTCATCGTCATCAATATCCGCCCATTTTGCTTCGGAGCTGACAGCCCCATCTTCTTGGATACGCGAAGTCATATGAATTCCGTATTGTTGTTTCAATTCCTCGTCAGTCAAGTGCTTCGGAGGAGCGGGAACAACAGCTACACAGATATCAATGTCAGTTTAGAGGATTCTACTCCATCCCATGACTAATACATACGTCTGTTCTTATTCCACACTTGATTTGGATCAGGCACTGATCCACCAGGCTTGCCTCCGCCTGCTCCAGTCTTCGAAAAGGAATCACGCGTGCCGAGTGTAGTCTTCGCAACCAAGCGTGGTCGGGAGCTTTGTTGTGGGGTGCCGAGTGGTGTTGTAGAAGTTGGCACTAAGCAAGTTAGAACTAACTCAAAGAGAAATTTGAGAAAAAAAACATACCTTTCTCTGGCACCTTTGGGGGTGTTGGGGCCCCCGGGACCTTGTTTACCGAGAATTTGGCAAATGAAACTGGCTTGAATCCTGCTGGCTTTTTAAGTGAGCCACTGTGAGTGGGATTCTTGCCATCTGATCGGCTCGCATCCGATTCCGAACCACCTTGTGATGCTGTGTCGTCTCCGCCATCCGATGCTGAGGCCAGTCCATTAAGTTCAAGAACTCGAGTTGCAACAACTCCGGCACCCTGTTTGGAAGTATCCTGCCCCGTATTAGCAAGTGCTTTGGAGCGCGTCCAGAAGCAATGCTCACCATCGTAGAACCTCCAGCGTGCTTGTCACCGGCAACGCTTTCCCCCGTGAAACAGGACTGTTCGTTTTCTCGTGGTTCTGCTGATCATTCAAGTTTGAGTTGTTCGATGTAGCGGTGGTCGTTGCGATATGTTCTGTCTTCCCCGCGTCCCCTCCACCAGATAGGTTGTCGTTGGTGCTCGCAGGAACGTCGGAAGGCGAAGGCTCGCCGCCCGACAGGGTCTGATCTACCACATCGCGGTTGCTCTGCTCTGCCATAACAATACTCGATTCTGTTTCATACAATATTTGCGACCATGTCAGCCAAGTTCCCTGACAGTGGGGAGATAAATCCGAGGACGTAATAGGCAGTCGCAGATCAAACATGCCAGATTCCCATGAAAACATACCTATCGTCAGATACCAAGGATCGCCACAGTTGCACTGGTTCCTTGACTGGTTGCACCCTGAATATTTGGGATATCACAACCAGGGATGGGATCGACCAACTCTCTCGGATGTTGATGAGAAAGCCCGTGTCAAGTTGGGCTCAGTGTGGAGAGCACGATCGCGGAATCGATAGGCGCGTGTGTCTTGGGAAATCCGCAGCCCAAGAGGTCCCAGAAAGGGATTAGGGCAAAGAGGGAGGGAGTATGCGTAAGGACGGTTGATGATACAAAGATAGGGAGATGATACGAGATTCAAGAGTCAACTCGGGTTGAAGCTGAGGGTCGCTGCTTTCGGTTTAGCGTGGCCCGTTCGAAAGTTGTGAGGTCTGCCCACACACTTGGATCTCTTCGAAAGCCCTAGATTTTTTGATGATTTAGTTAATGCAAGCAGTGGTTATGTTCGATGCAGTCGTTGCTTGCAAAACAGAATTCCCGGGGATTTCTTGATATCTGGGGTGAAGTTTGTATGTGATAAAAAAGTGTGGAAAGAGCCCGTCACTCAAGCTTCTATGTAAAATGTATACTTCTAAATCTACTGCAACTACAACAAAACGATACACGATAGTAAATCTGAATATTGAAACACAGTGAGATTCTAAAGTTCTCGCTAAAACCACATTTCTCCCTTGCACTAGGACAGAGGATCCAATATATACATCAATCCTCCACCTATTCGATGAGAAGGGAAAGCTTAGTGGGGGTGGTTCTTGTGGTGACCTAGTCAAAGGAATGGAGTTAGTGATTTTCCACCTATAGAGAGAGCAAACAATCAAATTGATGGCTGGAAAACACATACGCAGGTGGAAGTAGTATTCCATGCTGTAACCCAGGATCAGGATACCACCAATGGCGTGGATAAGGGCTGCATTGGAATTAGTATAAGATTTTATACAAAGAGAACATTGACGGATACTTACGGACACCGGAGGCGTTCTTGCCGTTGAAGTAACGGGCCTGGTAGCGACCGATGAGTCCGGTAGGCTTGACAGCAGCGGCAGGGCCACGGGGGAGACCAGCGTAGAAGGTCACAACACGCTCCATACGGGCAGCATCCTGGGCGGCACCAATAGCCTTGATTGAGAATATGTCAGTTATGAAGGCAAAAGAAAGACGGTATTGGAAATCAAATCGCGGGTTTCACGAAAAACGGCTTCGGGGCGGGACGGGTGTGGGAGGAATGCACCAAGTCGAAGGATGGGAGCGCATGGGTGACTTACGTTAGGGGAGGCAACCTGGAGGTATATTTAGCATCATTTCAATAATCGAATGACTATAAGTTGTCATGAATGACGGTGTGCTTACCTTGGGAGGGATCAAGGTCGAGAGACCTCGGCGGGCAATGTAGCTCATCTTGTCTAGGCTGAAGGGGGTCAGAAATCGGTCGCATTGAATAGAGCGGCTCTCAATGAGCATTCTCCGAGTGGTATAGACGTGGACTTACGTTGATTCGCGGCGCAAGTGAACCAAAGAAAGCTGATGGAGGAGGAAGGAGGAACAAACCGAGCCCTGCGGGTGTTCGGCTTGCCAAGCCCGGCTAAACCCGATTCGGCGGTGTCGTGACCTGCCTGTAATTCGCAACCAAACCACACTTGAAGGGAGTCCTCACTGGCAACGACCATTTCCCGCATCACAAAAGACACAATGTCCCTGTTCAGAATCGGGGGTGCTGCTAGCCTTCGGGTCAGCCGGATCGCTGCGCCTGTCAACGTCCGTTTCGTCTCCGTCAATGCCCCTAAGGCCGTTCCTTCCGTGAAGACCACCACCTCGGATGCTCCCACCACGCCTCCCAAGGACAGCTCCTTGATCACTAAGGAGACCCCGTCCGAGGCTATGGCCCGTCACCAGCCGGATTATGAGGCCACCATTGATCACGGCACTTCGTACGACATCCCCCTTTGGTTCCTTCGCAGATCCTTTTACTAACTCTTCGGCTTAAATTAAGGCAATTCTCCCCGGTGCCCAAGCGCGTGATGGATGGTAGCGAGCCCGGCAACACTCTCCCCGCTGCCGTTCTCTCTGGAGCCCCTACCGATCTCCAGGCCCGCACTGTCCGGTACGTTAGACAAATTTCGAGCTGTATCGCCTAGATCCCACAAACTAACGATTCCCACAGTATCTACCGCCCTACCAAGCCCGCGACACAGTCCGGTACCTGGCACCAGCACCACTGGCGCATGGATTGGGATATCTTGCAGCGGGGCCACCGATGGGAGAACTCGCTTATGGGCTGGCAGTCGTCTGCCGATTGCATGCAGGGCACCAATCTGAAATTCAAGTCGAAGGAGGACGCAATCGACTTTGCCCAGAAGCAGGGCTATGAATACTTTGTTCAGGAGCCGAATGAGCGCCGTTTTGTGCCCAAGTCCTACGCCAACAACTTCGTTCACGAACCCAAGAAGCTCAGACACATCAAGACCAAATGATTTGACTTCGCGCTGTATTATGTACATATTTGCTAGTTTACCACTCGAAATCAATTCCAAGCACTTCTATATATCGTGTTCTAATCTAGGTTCTCTCTATACGTCATAATTGAAGGCTAACCACTCAATAACCAGGATTAAATGGAAGGAGATGATGTGCCATATAGGGCTTCTAGCCAAGAAATCGATTCACAATCCAGTAACGTTGTACTGTGGGCTGAGTGTATATAAGTGAATGTCTAAAAAGCGAAGAATCATTATTTAGCTAGCTTAATTAGTTTTTTAACTTATTCGCGTCATTGAGAAATATTGCCCTATAAAAGTCCGTCAACCAATGCCTGTAGCTCCGAGATTTCTTAAACCAGCTGCGCTCGGATCCCAAAGTGCTTCCGATATTGTTATATAGCCGCTTAAATCATTGCACAAGCATAGTACATTCGAGCAATAACTTCCCATAGTAAAATTGGAGCCAGGTTTGATTTTGTGCTGCTACAAACTGTGCCATTCAAGCTTCTACTCCGGTGATGATTGTATATTTGGGTTAATATCTCGCCATATGTGTACAACGAGTGTATGAAATTCTATTCGGTCATTGGGTTAATTGTCTACTTTCTAGGCTGAAGAATGCTACTAAATTCTATACAAAATTGTACACGGAAAGTCTGTACAGCGGAAAAGATATATCCTAGGATCAGTGCTCCCTACGAAAATCCACATTCTCTAGGCTTAAACCTACAACACACGCATACAAACTGGTAGAATAATCTAATATCTTAACAAAGAACCCATGATCTAGGCTTACACCGGAAGGACCGCAGACAATAACGTACGAGCAAAAACTCATGTGCAGCTAAAGTCTGAATGGGCCCCGCCACCCCCCACCCTAAAAATTGATAAGATCAAAAAGATTAACAACTTTTCTTTCCCATCATACTCCCGAGATCCTCGAAGCACATTCCTCAAAATGGGTTCTGAAACAGATAACACAGTTTCTACTCTCCGCAAGGTTCTGGTCTCTGAATCTGAGCCACTTGCTCGCCGCTTCCGCGCTCTTTTCTCCCTAAAGCACCTGGCCTGTCTACAGCCCAGTACAGATCAGACTCTCCCCGCCATCGAAGCGATCGCCGCAGGTTTCGCGTCGCCTTCAGCTCTACTCAAGCATGAGCTTGCCTACTGTCTTGGCCAAACAAAAAATTTCGAATCTGTCGCATACCTGCAGCATGTGGTGAAGGATGCTGAGGAGGATGCGATGTGTCGCCATGAGGCTGCCGAGGCGCTCGGCGCTCTTGGATATGCGGATAGCTTGGATATCCTTAAGAGATTGAGGGATGATACTAGTGAGCTGGATATCATTCGGGAGACTTGCGATATTGCCGTCGACCGAATCCTGTGGGAGAACTCGGAAGAGCGCAAGGCCGAGAAATTGAAGCCTAGGTACGATTTGCGCGAGATACTATATATCACGAAGAGAAATGCTGACACTGAGATCTTTCATTTACAGTGATTTTACCTCTATCGACCCTGCTCCACCTATGCCCCTAGAGGCCAGCGCCGAACCCTGTATCCCCGACCTGGAAAAGACACTGCTTGACACAAAGCTCCCTCTGTTCCAAAGGTACCGTGCTATGTTCGGTCTGCGCGACCTTGCCTCGCCCCCTGATCTTCCCACAGCAGTCGATGCCGTCAACGCACTGGCCAAGGGCCTCAAGGACCCATCTGCTCTCTTCCGTCACGAGGTTGCCTTTGTGTTCGGACAACTCTGCCACCCTGCCTCGATCCCTAGTCTCACAGCCTCACTGAGTGACCTGTCGGAAGTAGGAATGGTGCGACACGAAGCGGCAGAAGCCCTTGGCAGCCTGGGCGAGGAGGAGGGTGTGGAGGAGACATTGAAGAAATTCTTGAATGACCCCGATCAGGTGGTCAGGGACAGTGTCATTGTTGCTCTTGACATGGCAGAGTTTGAGAAGAATGGCGAAACCCAATATGCACTGATCCCAGATAGCGCTGCACCTGTTGCTGCATGATGGATATTGTGCAAAAAAAAAGAAGAAAATTTGTCTCGTGACGGTCGTGATTTTGATAGCTAGTTATACAGCCATTCCCCAAAAATAGACATTTCCCTATATCTTTGTACATTTCGTGATTCCAAGATCAATTGTTGGAGGTTTCCCTATCAAGATAATTAGTACTTCTTGAGCATTCATAGATGCATGCTGTTAAGGCGGGTGGGCATACTTGAATCCGCAGACACATCTGTAGAACACGGTACTTCCTTCATCGGCACTGCGAAGTTGGACCGTAGTGTAGAACATCTGTTTCCTCCCGCATTCGTTGCATGTACGATCGATAATAGCCTCAGTCTTCCGGTCCTCTGCTGATAGGGTCTGGACTGCCGATCGTTTGGCTCTCAATGATGAGGGGAATGCGGAGGGCTTAGACTCGGACACGGTTGTTTGAGGAATTGTGTCTGCAAACAATGAGTGAGTAAGGAATCGTCTAGCGAGTAAACAGAGGGAAAGAAAGTTCATATTCACCCACCTTTGTTCCGAGTGCCGCAGACATCACAGTGCAGAATCGCATCCGCATTGCCAGTAGATTCTCGTAGGAGATTACCGCAATCTGTGCAGAAAATTAAGGACCCGATGACAGACATATTGACAAGTGTAAGATAAACCTCACGAGCTATAAGCAGAAGATCAAGAGTGTAAGCAAAGTGACAACGAATCGGGCTTTATGCAGAATAAACTATGCAACTTTTTTTTGACGCACCAGCCTCTAAATAGGCGGTCACAGGCGGCAATAAGCGTGCCGTCACCCATACGGAATCCATGAACTCATTTAGTCGTAGCTCAGCGCATTTTCTTTCAGATTCTGTTTTTTTTTTATATATTCCAAAGCTCAAAAGGATCTAGGGATGTCATAAGGCGCTCGCCTTATTTGCCATGTCTCTACCAGGAGCATGTCAACCTTGTGACTCGCGCCTACCTCTTTTGACTTAACCGCGACCATGGACAAGAATGGGCGACCTGCCGTCCAGGTGGTCATCAACGGCCATGACCAGATGCCACCATATGCCTCTAATATGCAGTCTCAACAAAGGCCGCTATCCGTGGATGAAGCACTGCAGTACTCATCCATGTCCAGCGCGCCTGTCTTTGGTCTCGGTTCGTCTGTTCTCTTTATCTCTTCAATTCTGTTCGATTAACTGACAGCTTGTATGCACAGACTGTATCTTACGTCCCGATGTTGGCCGACCCTCAAATACTACCTCTATAAACCATGTGCTCCAAGAAGGCCGCAAAACACTGGGTGAACTTGATGCGGAGATGCAATCTGGACGGGACGAGTCTAGTCGTTTAGAAACATCTCGAGAATATATTCAACAGTTGCTGGATGGAGACCAGCTGACCGAATTGTAAGGAAAATCGAGTCTTTGAAGCGCAGTCAACTCATTCGGATTTCATAGCAAATTCAAGCTTCCTCAGGTTCCTATTCAAAGTCAACAATTGCGCCCAAACGATCCAGATGGTACTGCTACTGGTAGCAATAGCCTTGGTTCTTTCGCACAGATGATGCTTGAATCTACGGATATTGCATTCAGATGTGAGTTCGAAGACGCTACAGCTGTTTGTACATAGTTGATTGACTGACTGGCCGCAGACCCTGAAGCTCCCTTGAAAATAAAACCCGAAAGGAGAGACCCCACCCCAACGACAGCCGCTTCATTTAACCAGCGCGCATTCGTTGCGAACAGATCGCAGTCGGCATCTTTCTCGGCCTCTTTTGAGCAGAATCGTCCTCCATCGAGCCAACTGTCTGTGGTTATTCCAGTCAAACCTGCACCCCAACACAGCGATTACGGGAATGCGAAGAAGAAGCAAATGAGAGCCCACGGCCAAGACGCCATGACGGCAGTACGACTTAGGGACCAAAAAGAGGAAGCAGATGCAGCCTTGCAAAAGCTTCAAGACCTTCTTCACGAGGTCTTTGAAGCAGAAGATCAAATTGAACCTGATACTTCAACTCCCCCTACTTTTGACACACCAAACCCCGTTTTCGTAAACCCAAAATCTTTAGAAGTGCATGGGCTGATATTATCTTCTGATGCTCACACTCGCCTCCAGAAAGCCCTTCGGAAAGTTGCAGGGTTTGACCGACTCCAGGACATACCGTCTGATTATCTCAACCGCATTCAGAAATTGTGCGAAAAGCCGATCATTGCTGCACAATCTCTCGACATAAGCTTAGGCGATTCATCCAGTGAGCTTGAGTCTCAAGAGTGGCTGGGTAAGATTGAAGACGTCTTGAATGCGTTATTTGCAATCGGAACGCTGTTGCAGACGATGTCTGGGCGTCAGACGGAGCGAGAGCTTTGTCCAGAAGATCTCATCGAGGCCATTCCCACCGTTCTCAATCATCTCTTTGACCATTGCATAATTCCCACGGTGGAATCGCGTCCTGGTGGCAAAAATGGCCAGCACTTCCAATTCTTCTCGACCCAGAAACGAATCATCGGTACTCTTGTTCACCAGAGCAAGAAAGTTCTCACTCTTTTTGCAGACTTTTTGTCTCGCATTGACGTCTCCGAGGGGACCATCACGGCTGCGGAATTTTTTGCCGCAAAGTTAATATTTGTGGAAAATGCGCACAACGACAAAGACTCCGCCTTAGGATACCAGAAATACGAGCCTGCGAGACGTGGTGCGATGGATGTGCTTGCAAAAGTGTTTTCCAAATACCCTGAGCAGCGGCCGTTCATTCTGGATGAGATTCTGGTTTCATTGGAGAAACTTCCCACCACTCGTCAGAATGCTCGTCAGTTCAAAGTTGCAGATGGAAAAAACATCCAACTGCTCACCGCGTTGGTGCTGCAGCTTGTTCAGACAACCGCGCTGGAAACACCATCGCGATCGAAGATCAAACGTCGAATCAAATCACAGGCCGATGGCGATGAGGATGAGCTTATGGGTGATGGTCAGGATCATGCGACTGGTGAGTCGGATGATGACGAGTCAGATGAATCGTTGGAACGCCTGGCGAACAAGGCAAACCGACTTTACGATAATGCCATGCGCTCCGCGCAATACATTGTGAACTTCATCGTTCAGCGTGCTATGAACTCGACGAAAACTGGCGACCAGCCGTATCGGAATATCCTGGATCTTTTTACCCAGGATCTGATCAATGTATTAGGCTCGGCTGATTGGCCAGCCGCAGAACTGCTTCTCCGGATCCTAGCCTTGCGCATGATTCAAATCACCGATCAAGATAAAAGCGCGGCGACTGCGAAGAGTATGGCACTGGAGCTTCTCGGCTGGATGGGTTCTGCTATCTCAGATCTGATAGCAACCGCTCAGCACATGCTCCCAGCTCTGGAAGACCCCGACAGTGAACTGACTGATTATCTCAAACAACAATTCGAGGACTTCTCTTCTGGTGCTTTGCATCATCAAGACCTCATCACTCCAACGGGTCCGTATAGGATTGCACTCGAGCACCTTTCGCAAGACAAAAATTCCGACAACTGGCAATTAACCAGTGCACGGGGCTACTACTTGGCTCAATGGGCCAAAACAGCCTGCGCCCTGTACTACAACTCCGAGGACCAGGAAGAAATCGCACAAGACGAGGTGACTGGAGATTTGGTCACTCTTCTAACAAGATCTTTCTCAGATCCACGCTGGCTGGAGACCCATAAAGAATTCGACAAAATTCCAAACGTGCATGGCAGATTTGCTTATATCCTCACGGTCTTGAATTCCAACTTCGGCAAAGCATTTGACACCATTCTCAAAGTTCTTTTGGCGTCTTTCCTCGGTGACTCGGCCAAGGTTCGCAGCCGCAGCTTGAAGAGTGTTATCTACATGCTCGAGAAAGACCCGAACCTTCTTGACAGAGATCCCTCGGTTTTGCGCGTAATACACCGGTGTACGACAGATGCTTCACCCATGGTTCGAGACTCTGCGTTGCAGTTGATCGGACAATGTATTGGTTTAAAACCTAAGCTCGAGGAAGAAGGATGCCGAAGCATTTTGGCCTGTGCAGCAGATCAAACAGCTGGTGTACGGAAACGCTGCATCGGGCTTTTGAAGGAGATTTACCATAAAACATCTCGGAAGGAATTGAAGCTAGCCATTCTCGATACTTTCCTCCAACGCACAGGCGATCTTGAGGAGAGCGTGGCATCTTTGGCTCGCCAGACCTTTGAAGAAATATGGCTCGTTCCATTCCACGAATCCATTGATTCCTCGTCCGAGGGCCCGAAACTGAAAATGGCCCTCGGAGAGCAGGTGAGCCTCATCGTTGGCCTGACCGAGCGCAGTGAAGCTGCCCTAGAGTCTCTTAGCGTATGTTTGAAAGCGGTCCTATCGGACAAATCAAAGTCTGCGGCATTGAACTCTAAAGTTTGTAAGGCGATGGTCTCAACCATGTTCCAGAGACTGGTGGAGGATTCAGATGGATCCAGCAAGAAATTCCAGCAAGCTCTCTTGCAGACAATCACCGTCTTTGCCAAGTCGAATGCCAAACTGTTTACCCCGGATCAGCTGGAGGCCCTGCACCCTTACATAGGACACCTTTCCACCGCAGATGATCTCTTCATCTTCCGATCAGTTGTGGTTATCTATCGCTGTGTGTTGCCATTCTTATCCTCATCCCACAACACCCTTCTGAAGGAAGTGCAGAATGACCTGTTCAAGAGCGTTGCTAAGCTTGCACGCTCAGAATTGAACGAAGTCATGGCTTGTTTGTGGACCATCAACAGTGTTCTGCAAAATACGAACAGATTGGTGAAGTTAACAGTCTCAGTACTGAAACCATTGCAGCAGTATAAGAGTGTCGACCTCTCCTCGGCTACACATGCTGCAATCCTTGCTCGTACCAAGAGCTATATCCGCATTGCAGGTTGTGTTGGGCGCCATTGTGATCTTGAAAAATATGCATCTCATTTCAAGAATGAATTTCCCACATGGAACGGTGGTTCAGTTGCGGGGCTGATGGTTGACTCCATCATTCCCTTCACTGCATCAAACTCACCTTTCGACCTGAGGGTTATGGCTCTCGAAAGCTTGGGATCTATATGCCAGTCTTGGCCTGGTCAATTCGGCAGAGAACGCACACGGCAGACTTTCGCGCAGGCTTTCAAGGAAGATGCCCCAAGCCTACAAAATATCGTCCTCCGATCATTTGCAGACTTCTTTGCCATTCATGAAGGCAAGTCCGAAAAGGCCGTCATGCCAACTGCAGAAGCTGCCAGTCAGGAAGACACCACTAGACTGGGTGGCTCTTTGAGAGCTAGCGACAACGATGGCGCTGCTGCTTTGATTGCCCAAAACTTTCTCTCAAACATGCTCCAGGTGGCACAATCGCGTCAGGATACTTATTCACTGACTGCCATTGAGCTCATCGCGAGTATCAATAGACAGGGCTTAGTGCATCCAAAAGAATGCGCGGGCGTCCTCGTCTCTCTGGAGACTTCTACGGTCCCTGCAATTGCGAAAATCGCATTCGACACGCACAAAATGCTCCATCAACAGTACGAATCCATGTTTGAGCGAGAATACATGCGAGCTGTGCAAGAGGCATTTTATTACCAGCGCGATATTGTCGGTGACTCTAATGGTGCTAATTCTCGACCTTATGTTTCGAAGCTCGCGCCGTTGTTCGAGATCGTCAAAATCAGCAACAGCCGTTACCAGAAAAAGTTCCTCGCGAACCTTTGCTCCAAAATCAACTTCGAACTGAAGAAATTGAATGTAACTGGCAACCCTCCAGAACATCTTCTACTAGCACGCTTCATTTCCCAAAACTTGGCGCATTTTGACTACGGTC